TAAGCTTAAACACCCCCCTTCCGTCCAGAATACATGTCCATCACTTGATCGACATTGCTGCATCACGAAGCCAGGTTACTAACCCAACATAGCTCATACCCGAACTGGTCCTCCTCGAACTCTGTGCCGGGGATGCCACAACTACCACCAGCTGGCTCGGGAAGCTACCCGGCCACCACGATGGGAGAATCTTACCACAAGGTTGCTCTGCCGGGAAGTGCAAGCTTCGGTGGAGAGGCCCATGACATGCCTTTGCAAACGTCGATGCCTTCCGTTCAGCTTTCTCTGGTTGCCAACGAGCAGCAGCAACCTCCGATCAGGACACAATACGCTTACGTGCAAAGTACGACTGCTCCGCCACCACTATCAGTATCGGCCACGGCAATGGCATCGAGCTCAGACAACGCGCTCAACGTGCCTAGATACGTCGACAACCCTCGACCTACCAAGAGCCCCAGGCATGCAAGCCAGCCTTCCATCGGGTCAATGTCTCATCACGAGGCATCCCCGGAGTACCGGTACGGCTCGTCATATGGAGCAGTGGGCAACAACCCCAGCGATATTGCACCGCCGTCCTATAAGCCTGAAGCCCCCGCGTCACACTCCAATCCATCTCGAGACTACTACCCGCCCTCGAGTTCATGGACGACAACAGCTGGAGAGCCTACCTCGACTGTTGCTTATAGTAGTAGTGAGGCAAGGCCGTATGGCTTCCCTGAACAATACTCGAGCGGAGGCTCTGCGCCAACCACCAAGCAGGAGCATGCTCCCGCTCCGCCAGCCCCTGGGTCATACAGCAGCGCCCACCGGGGATCGTTTGATGGCATGAACCATTATTCCTGGAACACTAATTAGCTGTGAGAATTACTGATTGGCGGCTGGGTCACGCCACTTGTCTCCAAACATGAGGGGCAATAATAGGTCGGGCCGAACGATGCTTGAGCTTGAGAAGCAAGACTTGAGGGCCGAACTTGTTTCCGGGCCTGGCACAACAGCCCTGACTGTGTACCACTATAACTTCAATTCGTGGCCAGAGGAGTGATTGCGGTTCGGGTTCGACTTTTATCTTCAGTGACCTAGGCGCGATATTTCGATTCTGGAGCGCTGTCGAGGCGAGGGATTTACACCGATTGGAATACGGCATATCCCACGGTAAAGGAGGTTTCCCTCCAGCGGTTGCCGTCTTTGGTTCTGCTCGGCATGGGCGTGATTTTTTTTACAAGGTCTCACGACAGACCGGACCCGAGCATAATTTGGGTAGGCGCAGCAACGACATGGTCGAGATCGGCGTCAAGAGAAGGGCATTATCTGGGTGGCTGGGCATTTCGATACCACGCGGAGGATAGCATTGACGTCGAATGCTCCGGCCGGACGCTTCTATCACCGGCTCCGGGCCGTGCTGCGACATTGTGTGGGCGGGTTACTTAACGATATGTATGGTATTTCCTGGTTTTTGTTGAGCGCCGGGTACCGGACGGGGAAAACAATGAAAGGCATTGTGGTCTTTACTCGGCATCCCTGGTCCCGAACGCGCCAACGTTGGCAAATTGTGTTGCCTGTGAGAAAGAAGGGTTTTGGAGAAGGAAAAAGGACAGCGCCACAAAGGGCTCAGCCTCGAGGATGGGATGACGTCCAAAGTGAGATGGTCCTGGGCCGGTAGCCTTGTACCAACCGTGTGGTTGGGTCCCGCCACCCACACCTCGGAGAGAGTTCGTCTGATTTCCCCGGGACGGAACCAAACGGTTGGGTCTTTGTATGGGAAGGCACCGGCGGTGTGGAAACGGATGACGGTTGAGTGCTGGTTGGCTGGACGTCCGCCCAACGTGGTGGCGTTTCTTCTGTGCGTGGTTTCTCGTACTCTTGATGAAGATTTTTTTTTTTTGGTGTGTTTTTGGCTTGCTAGAGAGAATGAGGAAAGAGATGGTTTTGTGGAGGAAGGGAGAGAGAGAAGGGATAGTAAGAGAGAGAGTGTGTGCAAGAGGCGAGAAAATAGGCCAGAAAATGCGCAAGCAAGCAAGCAAATAGGCAATGAATAAGCATCCATTCCAGCCCCCAGAACTCCACGTTGACTCTCTTCTGATCCAGCTCCGGTGTCTGATTGGGGATAACCCCCCGAAGCTCGTATTCGAAATAGTTTGGTGGTTCATAATGAGCAGAGAGACGGATACGGGCACCGGGCACCAGGCACCGGGCACGCGGGTCATTTATGTGTTTGGTCCACCGAGTTGCCTACCTCGACTGTTGGTGCGTAAACGCTTACACGACGCATACAAACATTGGAAAATCAGCCACCGGCTTTGGTTGGGTTGGATTGGGACCTTGGACCTTGGACCTCTCCACCCCCTTTCTTTCCCAATAAGATAGTTAGTTGTATGAGGGTGTCTGACCATCTCTTTTCATATTCTGTGAGGGGAGTCCAGTGGGAGATTACCACCACCACCACCACCACCGTCCGGCGCGGCGTCTACGATCCCACGTCCCACACACACACACACACACACTTATACAGGGCGCGGTCACGATCACACCTTGACTAGTTGTACCTACCGTTGGTCCGTTACGCACGAGTCTAAAAGGTTGCGGGCGGGCGGGACACTGCGGCAGGCCCGCTCAGCTGGGAATTTTGTAATGCCAATAGTGTGATGGGGGGGGGGGGGATCCTAGTGGTGCGTTGGCGCTGGTGCTTGGGGACATGACGGAAATGGTGCGCTTTGGGCGGAAAGATGCTGCTCTTGCTTTGCTTCGTCTTTTCTGTATGTGCTATTTCTCTTACTTTTGGTCCGGTTTTTATTTTGTACGGCGCAAGTGAGGGAGGGGAAAGATGCTCTTCCTGATTATGTAGAATGCTGCCGGCTTGACGAACGAGAGACAGACACGGAAAAGAGAGATTGAAAGAAAGGGAGAGAGAGAGGGAGGAGCCGTAGGGATCCAGGGCGCCCAGAAGGAAGGAAGAGAATACGAATGGGTTTGGCTTTCTGTCACTTTGGTTCGAACCCCTCTAGCCCTTGAATCCTTCGTGATGAGAATCCACAGAGACTTGTCCGCTTTGAGAGAAGAGAGCACCAAAAGAAGAGGTACTTTTGGTGGGAATGTTTGTTGGATCCTTTTTTTGGTTCCTTCCATGGAGTCGTATTCTTTGATGTTAGCCCACCCACCACCACCGCCAACTACCAACCAATACTACCAAATGCTGTGATACGATGGAATACTGTGGTAAGGTATCTTGTCATTTTCACTTACGCAACCCACGTAACCCACGCAAACGCAACGCAGGGCGAGATGCGGGTGATGCCCGGTTCGGGCCTCTTGCTGGGAGGCTTGCGGTCAGCCTACCGCTGGGCGCGTGGGATCCTCGTGTGAGTGTGTGTGTGTGTGTGTGTGTATGTGTGTGTATGTGCGCGCGTGCCGTTTCATGCATGCATGTACTGAAGCGGCGTAAGTGTTGGCTGGCTGGCTGGCAGGAGGATTGGGATGCGTCGCTGAGGAGGAGAAGAAGCAGGGCATGAGATGGAACTGCTGGGGCAGAAAATGTACCGGATACTATGACACGCGTGCAAGCGTACGCAATGGAAGGAGCAGGAGGGGGGGATAGCATGGTATGGGGACCCGAGCAGCTGGATAGGAATGACGATGATCCTCCCCCCCCCCCCCTCTCTAACCTAGCATGGGAACGGGAGATGATAATTTGGCTATGTGAGTGCGAGAAGGTACGTAGAGAGAGGGGGGCAGAGGTGGAAGACTCCGCCGGCACGTTTACTTTCCCACGTTGTTTGAACCCAGGCCGGCCCGCCTTTTCATCCCACCCCTTGCTTTCCCACGTTATGTTTCCGACTGTCACTTTTTTTTTTTTCTTTCTTTCTCTCTCTCCCACGGTGTGTTCGTACCAAAACTCCACACCTCCTTGTTCGGTGGCTTGCTGGGGGTGGTGGTCGGTTGACGAGCTGACGGCGGACACTGGGCTGGCAGGGAGTTTGATGCCCCCTCACCAGGGTGAGAGGGCTGTCATGTTTTGTATTGAGGAGGTATTAATAGAGGTCAGACAGACGTTTGGGATGGAGGAGGGGGGGATGGGAACGTGGGAACTTTGGGAAGATATGTATGGTTTGATGTATTGGGTGCAGACTGGGTGGGGTTTGCACGGTGCGGTTGTTCAATACCTTTGTGAGGTGGGAGAGAGATTGATTGGAGTTATTTGACAAATGGCCCGAAGTGGTTGATGCATTGACGACTAACAGAGGAAACCAGGATTGTGGTACTCGTGGTTGACTACCCAAATATCTAGTATCAGGTTCAAGAAGCTTCGTTGTACCCAATGTCACGAGACGACGGCGACGGCAGTTGCTTGAGAACCCGGTTGGTGGTAATGATGCAGCGTCAATCAATGATCTTCGGCCGTAAAGCAAAGTGACCGTCCGCTTGCACAACAAATCCATTCGATATCTAGCTTGCACTCCGTATTCGTACTTGCTCGCAAGAGTTTGAACGAATTGTGTCTAGAGCAAAGCCCATTCCTCGTGTTCACTTGCCTGTACTCGTTTGTGTGGATAAGTACCTTGCATCTCTTCTACCTAGGTACCTCTAGGCAGTGGTAGGTAGGACCTCACGACTGCGCGATAAGATAAGGTTCGACGCTCCCGCTTTAGCGAGCGAAAATCTCAATTGAACAGCTCCGCGGTCGGGCGAAATTCCACCGGTCAGCCGCCCGCCGTTCATCACATTGCAACCTTCCGTCCCGTGCTCAGAACTCCACATTGCACCGGTCTCACTGCGAAGTTGCTCTCTCGCCAGTTTTTTTTTTTTTGCTGTTTGTCCTCAGCTTCGCACGGGGACTCGGCGATCGAAATTACGGATCGGGTGGGTTGCAATTCGCTCGCTCTCTCTTCGTATTCACTCGTCTGGCGCCACAACGTCACAACGTCCCAGAGCACCTTTCCGGTGCCGTCCTACCTGACCACACCCCCGACGAGGAACATTCCTTTTCCCCTGGGGAACAAGACGCTATGTTTGAGCTTCCCGACGCGAAGAGGTGAGGTGCAACCATTACCTCTTCTGTGACCCTCCCCCCTGCGCCGGCAGCAGCGCTGACCAGAACTTGGCACGAAACAGAGTCCGACGAGAAGACCTCGGGGAGTCGTCCGACGACGAAGGAGCGGACCACAACGAGCAGCAAAATGCAGACCTCCTAGCGAAGCTGCATGCCCGTATGGCGGGCATGCTCGACCTAGGCGACGACGCCGCCGACCAGGCCCCGACAGAAACGACCGAGCAACCAGCAGCAGCGGCGGCGACGGACGGAGAAACGGTTCAGAATAGCGGCGGCGGCGGAGACGACAACGAGCCCGAAGAGTTTGAGTTCCGACTCTTTACCACGTCGAACCCGGCGACAAAGATTGCGCTGATCGACGAGGACGAGCGCGCGATGGCGGGCGACGGAGCCATGATCCGCAAGAGACCGCTGTCGTACTACATCACCGGGGAGCCGACGTCCGAGGTGAAAGCGGAGCTCGCGTTCGCGGCGGTGTCGGGCGAGGAGGTTCTCGAGCGGGCGCAGCGGCCGTGGTGGGGGATGGAGCAGCCTTGGCGGGTGACAACGATTCCTGGCACCACGGTGTCGTCAAAGGGAACAGCAGTAGCAGGAGCAGCAGGGGACGCTGGGAAAACAAAGGAGGAGGCGGACGCGGCGGCGGCGGCGGCGAGGAGGAGGCGGCCTGGAAAGAAGAAGCGTCTTGCGATACGGGTCAAGCAGCGGGAGAGGGTGAAGAAGGCGGAGGAGCTGGAGAAGTTCAAGGCGGGTAAGGAGGAGGCGCTGAAGGAGAAGAAGAAGAGGTTGAATCGGTTGAAGAAGCTTAGGAAGAGGGCCAAGGCGAAGGAGGGGAAGAATGGGGGTGGCGAGGGTGGTGATGGTGGTGAGTCGGGATCTGGATCTGACGGTGATGAGTGAAGTATCTGCCTAACTGTCTATTGTCTTGAATCGACAGGCAGGCCGTCATGAGCGTGCTCTGTTAGACATTCCCCGTCCCTGAGGGAATTGGGCAGAGTCTACTCGAGGGATCACGCGGGCAATGTAATCCAAATGTGATACTCGTGGACGTACTCTTCCTTTCATGTCTACCTACAAGATATCCATCGCGCTTGGATCTTTGGGCGGAAGAGCGCTTTGCATCGTGGCATATGGCAGAGGTGCAATTCTTACGGGCGCTGAGACTCAAAGGTGTGGCCTTCTTGGTTCTCTTACCTCACAGGCTACACATAGCAGCACCATCGACTACTACCAACATCTTGAGAAAACAAAAAAGCTACATGATTAAATCTCTTTGGTTGCCCAATTCCTGCCGGCGAAATTCTTCAAAGGTCCATCAAAACCCAGCATCTGCATGACGTGCAAGACTTAAAATGTGCCCCAGCCAGTCAAGACTCGCGCATTACCGGAGCAGCACTCTAGGGAGGCGACGCGACGTGAATGGCTCATGAGGTGGGGCCGGGGAGAGCACTGACATACCGGCCCGCCAATGGATGCAGGAGCTCCAGCAGAGAGCTCCCCCGTCTTTCCTGGTCGAAAAGGAATGTCCCGGCAGCAAAAAAATTTCGAGGACGCCGACTCCCATCAGACGATACCTCATCAACCTCCTTCCCCCCTACCTCACCCTCACAAAAGCCGTTGTCGACAAGGAGCAATTCCATCGTCCATCTCCTCTCTGTTCCTTCTTCTCTCTTTCTACTGTACTATTTAATACCCACAGCCTGCGAAAATGTCCGCCTCCCTGAGATCCGTTGCGCCGTTCTTCCGGACGGCGCGCGCCTCGCTGCGCCAGGGCAACGTTAGCCCCCTTCAGGCCGCTCTGAAGAGACAGAACGTCTCCCCCATCCTCAACGTCTACCGCACATACGCCGTCTATGAGCGGACGAAGCCTCACGTCAACATTGGTATGGGCACCTCGACGATCAATGCGTTGGAGATGCAGTAGCTAATCTGGGGGAACGTCTACAGGTACTATTGGCCACGTCGATCACGGAAAGGTACATATCAAGACCCGAGGGGAATTGTGCCAATGCGCGATAAATACTGACCGAATTCCCAATAGACCACTCTGTCCGCCGCCATCACCAAGAGACAGGCCGAGAAGGGCCTTGCCAACTTCCTCGAGTATGGCGCCATTGACAAGGCTCCCGAGGAGCGCAAGCGTGGTATCACCATCTCTACTGCCCACATCGAGTACTCTACCGACAACCGCCACTACTCCCACGTCGACTGCCCTGGTCACGCCGATTACATCAAGAACATGATTACTGGTGCCGCCAACATGGACGGTGCCATCATCGTCGTTGCCGCCTCCGACGGCCAGATGCCCCAGACCCGTGAGCACTTGCTGCTTGCCCGCCAGGTCGGTGTCCAGAAGATTGTCGTCTTCGTCAACAAGGTCGACGCCATCGACGACCCGGAGATGTTGGAGCTCGTCGAGATGGAGATGCGTGAGCTTCTCAGCACCTACGGCTTCGAGGGTGACGAGACCCCCGTCATCATGGGTTCCGCCCTGATGGCCATGCAGAACCAGAGACCCGAGATTGGCCAGGAGAAGATTGACGAGCTGCTCAAGGCCGTCGACGAGTGGATCCCCACCCCTGCCCGTGACCTCGAGAAGCCCTTCCTCATGTCTGTTGAGGATGTCTTCTCCATCTCTGGCCGTGGTACCGTTGTTTCCGGCCGTGTCGAGCGTGGTCTCTTGAAGAAGGATACCGAAGTCGAGATCGTCGGCAAGGGTGACCAGATCATCAAGTCCAAGGTCACCGATATCGAGACCTTCAAGAAGTCTTGCGAAGAGTCCCGCGCTGGTGACAACTCCGGTCTTCTCCTCCGTGGTATCAAGCGCGAGGATATCAGCCGTGGTATGGTCGTCTGCAAGCCTGGCACCGTCAAGGCCCACTCCAGCTTCCTCGTCTCCCTCTACGTCCTGTCCAAGGATGAGGGTGGCCGCCACACCGGTTTCCACGAGAACTACAAGCCCCAGATGTACCTCCGTACTGCCGACGAGTCCGTCACCCTCACCTTCCCAGAGGGCACTGAGGACGCCAAGAACAAGATGGTCATGCCTGGTGACAACGTCGAGATGGTTGCCCAGCTGCACCACCCCTCTGCTGTCGAGGTCGGCCAGCGCTTCAACGTTCGTGAGGGTGGCCGCACCGTCGCCACTGGTCTCATCACCCGTATCCTGAAATAAGGGACACGCACCGAAAGAATTCTCAAAACTTGGTGAAACGGCACCTAGAAACACAACTTCCCCGACATGAAATGGGAACCCGGATGGTGAAAAAATTGGGATTGTACAAAAAAAAAAGGAGTTGGATTGCTTCACGATTTCATGTACAACCGACCCAAAGTTTTCTGCTTTGAGCCCTCGAGCTCGTGTATATTGTCGGGTCTTGGGCTCAAAGATCTCCGCTCTACTTCACCCCCTTGTCTTTGAATCATGTACTTTTAGAAGACGACGGACAATAGAACAATCTGTGCTTTGTGCCACATGACAACAACATGAGTACCCCATTTCAACGCGTGTATGCTCACTTGATATATCATCGTGTTACTTGATAAACCTCGAGTCATCAATTACATCCCCAGAACTTGGAGGGCCAGACTAGCTAGCTGCTTGGTACCCAGGCGTCGCGCGGTTTCACGAACTACAGATGAGTCGTGCCGTCTTCACGCGCAGCTCAGCTTAGTCTTTCTTTGGTTAATATTGAGGGCCCCAAAATTTTGGATGGTGGTAAAAGGTTCAATGTCGTGGTATTCGTCTATCCTCAGTTGGACGTCCGACGGATTTTTGCACTTTCCGTTAAGCCAGCCATAAGAACTCCAATTGCCCTTGGAAGCCTTCCCTCTTGTCTGAATGCATTTTTCCACGGGCCACTCATGCCCAACCACCTTCACCAAGTTCCCATCCTTTGCCGTCTCGGAGTTTTGGACAATTTAACGGTACTGTAGAATTGCGAACTCGGGTTAGCGGTTTGCGCCTTCTAAGAGTGGTGACGAGAGCGAGGGAGGGGCTCAGGCCAAAATCGATCGTAGGTTCCGGGGGGGTTGTCTTTATTTCGCATACCTTGTTGAAGCCGATGTCCTTGGCCTTCTCACGGAAGCACTGACGGCACAGGTTGAGGTCGTACTTGCGGATGAGACCGGCGGTGTGCTTGCAGACACGGCTGTAAAAATGAAAATGTCAGCATTTCTGCTTGCTTTCTATGCGCCTCTGCGCGCGCGCGCTCCAATATTCCCGTTTCCTTTTTCTTCCATCCAAACCTTCGCTGAGAGAGAGGGGTTTTGTTCGTACCAAGAGCGGGAGCCCTTGCCGTAGTTGCGGGGGCGGGAGTTCCAGACAGACTCGTGAGACATGATGGCGGTTGTCGAGCGGGTGGGCGGTGTCGTCGAGAGGGTGGTCGGCGAAAACTCGAGATGGTTTGGCTGTGGTTGGATTGAGGACGTCTGGCGGAAATTTTTGTGCGCCTGTATTTTGCTGGGGCTTGGGTCAGGGTGGGTTGGAGCCCCCTTCGCTTCTGGGGGAAGTCCGTGCTTTACTGATGCACGTGATGTAGATAAGATATGTGATAAGCTTTGCTGATAAGATTTCGCCCCCCTGCCTTCTACCTAGTGGGGCTCTCCTGGGAACGCCGCTTGTTGGAGAAGGAACAAGGGACTGAGCTCTTCTGTGACGTTGGGGGACGACCTGCAAAGTGGCTTCTTTACCAATTCCTTCAACAGCTGATTTCAAAGCATCGGTCTGCATCACCATTATTCCTAACTGCTGATATCTTCTTCAGCAGCTTGATATTCTTTTTCTTCGTCGAGATACCACATAGCCTTTTTCATTCCTCCTCGTCCGATTCAATCAAGCAACAATGGTCGTCCTCAAGAGCTTCGTGCTCGGCGCTCTGGCAGCTACCGTTGCCGCCAAGTCTGCCGTGCTTGACCTCATTCCCTCCAACTTTGACGACGTCGTCCTCAAGTCTGGCAAGCCCACTCTCGTCGAGTTCTTTGCTCCCTGGTGTGGCCACTGCAAGAATCTTGCCCCCATCTACGAGGAGCTTGCCACCGCCTTCGAGTCCTCCAAGGATGTCCAGATTGCCAAGGTGGACGCCGACGCCGAGAGAGACCTGGGCAAGAGATTCGGGATTCAGGGATTCCCTACCCTCAAGTGGTTCGATGGCAAGAGCGACCAGCCTACCGACTATAAGGGAGGTCGTGATCTTGAGGCCCTGAGCACCTTCATTACGGAGAAGACTAGTGTCAAGCCCAAGAAGAAGTACACCCCGCCCAGCGCCGTTAACATGCTCACCGACGAGTCCTTCAAGACCACCATTGGCGGCGACAAGGACGTTCTCATTGCCTTCACTGCTCCTTGGTGCGGACGTAAGTCTCAAGTTATAATTCCCTTTGTTCTTAACCGACAATGCTGACCTGAACTTCTTCGACAGACTGCAAGACCCTCGCCCCCATCTGGGAGACCGTTGCCCAGGACTTCGTCCTCGATGAGGGTGTTGTGATTGCCAAGGTTGACGCTGAGGCTGAGAACAGCAAGGGCACTGCCGCCGCCCAGGGCGTCTCTTCCTACCCCACCATCAAGTTCTTCCCCAAGGGTTCCAAGGAAGGCGAGCTTTACACCGGCGGCCGCAGCGAGGAGGACTTTGTCAACTTCATCAACGAGAAGGCTGGTACTAACCGCAGCCCCGGTGGCGCTCTCAACGCCATTGCCGGTACCATTGCTTCCCTCGACGAGATTGTCGCCAAGTACACTGGCGGCACCAGCCTGTCCGACGCTGCCGCCGAGGCCAAGAAGCAGGCCGAGACCCTCAAGGAGAAGGCCCAGTACAAATACGCCGAGTACTACGTCCGCGTCTTTGACAAGCTCAGCAAGAGCGACGGCTACGCCCAGAAGGAGCTTAAGCGCCTCGACGGCATCCTCTCCAAGGGTGGCCTCGCTCCTGCCAAGCGTGACGAGATCACCAGCAAGACCAACATTCTCCGCAAGTTCCTCGAGAAGGTCACCGGTGAGAAGGAGGAGTTGTAGTGAACTCCATCAGCAAGTTTTCAGGCGCATCTTGAACTCTGGTTTGGGGAGGTCTTGGGAGGTTGAAAAGCAAGCAACATGCAACTGAGCGTGTTTAGCTCAAGTTGGGATTGGTAGTCTAGGATACCGACGATGATGAATAACAATAACAAGTATAACTCAAGTCTGCCCCATGGAATTCGACCATCATATGTAGCTCCTGTGAGGTTGTCCCATGAACCCTAACGCCATCGGCATGCGAAACACCTGCTTCGTGAAGTATGCCATCAAGGCTTCAACTCAAGACGACTTGGACGGGCCGGCATCCTTCTCCTTGTTAGCTAGAAGAGCCGCTTCCAAGTTGTCCAGGCGGCGAGACATTTCGTCCACTGTACGGCTTTAGTACGTAGTCTAGGGATACAAACTCAACTTATTCCCCTCGGGGGCTTTCTAGACTTACTCTTTGCAAAGATCTCACTTGAGACGCCCGCGAACTTGTTAGAGATTGTGTTGAGAAGTTCTTCGACGGCTGCATTGACGTCGGTCTTGGGATCCTCTGAGATCTGTGAGTTTCTTCGAGTTAGTTTCCGGAAGACCATGCGCGTGATTTCGTCTGCTGTCCCGGATGAACCGAAGGCAAGACGACGTGCCAGAGGTAATGTGAAAGGTGAAGTGACTGACCGCAGACTGGTTTGCGCTCGAGTCGGGGTTGTTGGGGGCCATTGCTTATCCGCGAGACAGCCTTTCAGTTTGAAAAGATAGGGATCGAGTGCAAAATTCCCAACGCTGTTGTCTATTTCGTATTTGTTGTATTTGAGATACCGTCGGCGGGAGTGTGAGCCTCGATGTTGCCTGACTGGGAGTTATGAGAGATGAAGCGATCCAGGTTTGGCGGGGTTCAATGTGTTTGCGCTGTTGGTTCCAGTAAACATGCAATGTGGAGGGGCCAAAATGCGCAAGCGGAGGCCAGCTCTGGAAGGTGTCTGCTACGGCGTGCAGCGCTAGCACCAGGGGACGGATACCTATCCGTCCTCCAGTGGGGTCTGCCTAGGGCGATAAGACAATTGAAGCACCCCCAGGCTCTGGTATCCGTCGCGCTGTCAAACGGTCCGCTTTCAGCAACTTGGCTGATGCCGTCATCCGTCTTCAAAGTTACTTTTTTGGTCTACAGTGTTCAGTTCATCCGTACATCGTCATTCTTCCCCGATTGCTACGCTACAGACATTCTTTCATTGCGTCTTTCTTTCGACCAACGAAGCTTTCTGCAACAAACGACACCCGCCGGCCAGAGCAGCAGAGCGATGGCCCCGAGTTAAGCGGCACAAGGCACGCCGCACACCATGCCCAGTCCATACCGAGACCCGCGCCTCGTTTTCCTCGCCCTCGCCTTCATCGGCGTCTTCTGGATCCTCCTCTCCCCCGGCAATGGCGGCGCGTCTCTGTTCTCCGCCTCGGACCTGGCGATCCAGCGCCTGCGGCGACACCAGCACGCTCTCGACCTCCTAAACACCTCGACGTACGGCGACTTTTCACCGCGCGAAAACGGCACGTCCGAGGACCTGCTCCCTAGGTCGCTCAACCTGACGGGCTTCCGCCCCGAAGACGGTTTCGCCTGGGACGATCTCGAGCACTTTCGGGAACGCTGCTTGGAATGGAGTCACAACGCGATACCGCCCGTCGGTGGTGTGAACCTGTGGGATATTGGAGAGGGAGAGCCGGTATGGCAGAACGCCACCGGTGCGGTCAAGGGGACCTGGATCCGGAGGGAAGCGACATCGAGCAGAGAGTGGACAAACTACAACCTGAGCGCCATCACGCCGAGCCTACACTGGAGCGGCGCGCAGTCGGAGTGGGCCAGAAACATCACGGGAGACGAGGGCAAGATCGTGATGGACCTCGTCGACACCGGTAAGCACGGGAGGGAGCTGGACTACCGCAGCGACGTTGAGGATCATGAGGGCCCCTCGTCCGGCGGCAAGGTGCGCAGCGCAAAGGCCTCCATCACCATTGAGGATGTCAAGGGTAGCGGCGTCAATTGGGAAATGAGGCTGCACGGTGTCCAGTGGCCTCGTCAGGGGACCATTCTCTTAACGACGACCAGTGAGAAGTTTGACGGCATTTTCGGTTTGCCGCATCTGGCGCCTAGCTTAGACTTCTTCCAGTCGAGCCAGCGGCTACTAAACCTAACCCTCGCCGAAGTGCTTCGTAGGAAGGAGAAGGAGGTATTCAACGATGGCGTGATGCCTTGGACTTCGGATCTGTCGAACCCACCGGATACGCTCAACCCAACGCCGCATTGCGAGTATATCATGTATGCCCAAGTACACCCACCGGACAGAAACTTTCTAGACATGAAGGGCTTTCATCCGACCAGGGAGGGCATGGCAAGGATCATCAGCGACATTGAGCAAGAATTGCGATTCCCAGAAGGCGCACCCATTCGCGGCGTCCCCGAGCTCCAGCTCTCGGCCGTTATTTGGTCCCCAGACTGCGCCTTCTTTCTCGAGACCAAAGGGCCGCCGGATTTCGCGCCCGTTGATGGACAACATCTCCAAGGCATGAAGACAGAGATCATTTACCACAAGATCCGGGTATGGATTCTCCTCTTCGCGATGGTGATCCTCACGCAGGCCCTCCTCCTCAAGCAGCAGATGAAGGAGTCGGCTACACCTTCGACGATGGGTCGCATTAGCTACTCGACCATTAGTATGATGGTTATGGTGGACGGTGGCATCTTCGCCGCGGCGTCCATGTGGGCTTTGGATGCCAGTATCACATACCTAGAGTCGCTTTCGCTTCTCTTTTCAGCGTTCCTGTCCATGTCCCTCGGCGGCTTCTTTTTGGCGGAAATTCATAAGGTCCAGGAGCCCGAGAACAGGAGGCGTGCCGAGAGGGAGCAGCAAAACGCAAACAATGACTCGCCGCGCACACCGGCGACGCCTGCGCAAGGTCTCGAGGCGGACTCTCTCCCGCGGCCCGTCACTGCAGGGCCTCGCAGAAGAGCACCCTCGCCTCCGATCATCATCCCCTCAGATCAGGATATCGACGCAGAGATCGCAGACGCCGCGAGCGGTGCGGCAGCCGTACCGACAGCGGGCACCGGCGCGGGCGGTGGCCATCGCATCGGGCCCGAGGTTACCTTCCAGTCCGTCATATTCCGCTTCGCCATGACTGTGTCCCTCATCCTCCTCGTCTCCATCGCGTCCACATCCTGGTACCCGCGCGTGCGCAACTTCTTCGTCAACAGCGTGGCCCTCGTCTACTTCTCCTTCTGGGTACCGCAGATCCACCGCAACATCCTCCGCAACTGCCGCCGCGCGCTGACCTGGCAGTTTGTCATTGGCCAGTCCGTCCTGCGGCTGCTCCCCTTTGCCTACTTCTACGTCTACGAGAACAACTTCCTCTTTGCAGAGACGGACCGGCGCGCATTCCTCGTCTTTTGCGCGTGGCTGTGGATCCAGCTCTGGGTCCTCGCCTTCCAGTACGTGCTCGGCCCGCGGTTCGGTATACCAAAGAGCTGGACGCCCGATGCGTGGGATTACCACCCGATTCTGCGCGAGGACGGCGTCGAGGCCGGCGGGCTGCCGATCGGTCTGCTCTCGGAGCCGGGGTCGCCGTCGCTGGAGAGGGTGAGGTCGGGCAGCGGCGGCGAGGATGTAAGGGATAAGAAGAGTAGCGGCGGGAGTAACCTGCGAGCCATCGACTGTGCCATTTGCCGTGAGGTGCTCGAGGTGCCCGTCATGCGGGCGGGCGAGGAGGACCCAACGGCCGGAGGTGTCGTTGGCGTGTTTACGAGGAGGAATTACATGGTGACGCCGTGCCGGCACATCTTCCACAGCGCGTGTCTGGAGGGCTGGATGCGGTTCAGGTTACAGTGTCCCATATGCCGAGAGGAGTTACCTCCCTTGTAGGAACAGCGAAAAGGGCGGTTGCATGCCTTTTTGTGTGTCTTGGAGCGCGTCTGTCATAGCGGGAAGATTCCATCATGTGTTTAATTAGAATATGATACCAGAAGGAGAATGGGTTTAGGATACATCCACTTGAGTATCAAATTCCATTCTGTTTCCACTTGCGGTCTATGGAGTTGTTTTGAGATTTGCCGAGTGAATGGTACCATGGCAGCGGACTTCTGCCGCATGTGAAGATGGAAATCGACCATTGATGCGGACGGTTTTCAACCACAGTCTCGTTGCTAACAACATTGCCCCCCAGGAAGGGGGTGGAAGTGACCATTGCGAAAAGATGGGCGTTTGCAATCCCTAATCCTCTCCAAACATGGACCAGCTCTTATTTCCAAGGAATGAACGCTTCCGAGAGTAGGGGGGATCGAGATCTCCAGAAGGGATAGATAACCAAGAGAATATCACAACATCGCCGCGGTGCATTTTTCCAGTATTGGGATCGTTTTCATAGAAGATAAAAGAGAAGGGAGTTTAACACCCTCTGGCCGAAAGGTAAAGGTGTAAGTGGAGTGCAGTGGGTGTTCCCCTTCCCCTTTTTCAACCTGATGGGAAATCTATGATATTCAAGAGACTGGAGATGGCCGGGCGTCTCAACGAGGAGGGTACAGCAAAACGGGTTTGCAATTTCAAACTTTCTTCTCTTTTCCTCCTCCTCCCCCCCCCCCCCTTTCTGCCTGGAGAAGTCTGTTATCAAGTGTAGTTTGCAATTTACTGGGAAGCGTAGTTCCGTAGGCTCGTACTACACTTACGGAATACAACAGAAGGAACGCGACAACGTGGACTGTGTATTGGAGGACCGTCAAGATGACATCGTACGGCTACGGCGGTCACAGCCCATGATGGGCGGGCTGTGAACCTTGATAAGGAGGAGGAGTGGAGGGGTTCATCGTGCCTTCTCGAGCCTGTATTCATTCAGAGCAGAAAGTGCGGACTAGTGAGTAGTAAATATGAGTTTTGTGATAACACGGATAAGCGTTCAATACGGAATCTCTGGTCTTCAGGGGTGATGGGAGGTTTCTGTAGAGAATCTCAGCTACTACATCTTGGTGTAAGTCGATAGGCAAGAACGTCGGGTTCAGCTAACCATTGACACGTAATTCCCCGTGTTTCATTTGTTCCTTCTACCCATTGGCTACATCATCGCGTCTTCGTCATCGTATATACCATGAGGAAGTGGCTGGCCACACAATTACAAAAAATCAAACGAGGACATGACATCAGTTTCAACATGACGCAGGGGACGGGAAGAATCGTCCGGGGGACGAGGCTGCGGTATGCATTTTGCTATCGCACTTAGCCTAGCACAGAAGAACTTGCCGGAGGTATACACCACGCGGAAAGAAGTATTACCCATGGAAACACACTCGCAAGTCGCCAAAGGAGTTTTTCTCGTACCACAATTCGCAGTCTTCTACCCCTGGACAAAGCATGGAAGCTACGAAGACCACAAGATCTCCCCGGAGCCCGTAGAGAGGGTGGAAACACCCGTCGCGCATCCGCTCCTCGCCGCCGCCTTTGCATGATGTTTGTCCCATTGATCAAGGCACCTTACCTACATTGGGCCACTTAAACAGCCAAATAAACCTCTTTCGCCCAATTGTGAAAGAGACAGACCAGTTGGTGTGGCGGGGGCCAATGATCGTAGGTAGATGGCCCAGCTCACAGTCGCCCCTTTCCACCTCCCTGGAGCGCAAACTACATTGTTTCAAAAAGGAGCGACTGACCCAAGGCGCAGAATGGCTGCAGCCAAGCTCGCTGGCGTGCCATTCAGGGGTGTCCCTTCCATTCAGGCCAGCAGAACAATTCGAGTGCATCCATATCATTGCCGTGGCGTTGGAGATTGAGATGTATTGACGGCTGGATCTGGCTCGGGCTTGCCTCGATTCGATTATCCCCAAAAGTCATCTTTGGGCGATGTACTCAGCATCATCATATTGATAGTCACGGCTCGATTACTCTTCTCATACTCGAAAAAGTAACAACTGCTAGCGATGATCGAAAGAAGAAACGGGTGTGTGTCTCCCAAGGATTTGAAAGAAGGCAGAGAGATGGTCACCCCTGCCCCGGCTCGGCGGTCATGCTGCACAACAACGTCCCTAACCCATGTGTCCTACCTTATACTCCTACCTACCAAGATGTCAGCATAATTTACGTTACGAAAGAAAAAAGAGTGGTTTCGATCGTGTCGGTGAACCTGATCGTCGGTAGCCCACCAAATCGGACCAGGGGCTTGTTCTGGATGTCACAGGTGACGCAAACCTCTTGTACTTGCAAACAGCAAAGGAAAGCTCGATTAGCGATCAATGGGTGAGCGACACAGGTGTGAGAGCGTTTAGATCCATCGTTTCTGGGACAGTGGAAAAGATTTGTCCCTCATGTTGTGTCGTGTGAGGGAAGCGGTGCAAAGGCGGCCGGATGCCAGCGGCCGAGAGCGCCGGTGTGATGAATGTAGTCGTCACGGGCCCTTGAAAGAAGACACCAGTGACACCGTGATCAGTGTGGAGATCAGGACGTTTAGTTCCCGTATCCGGAAGCCTGGGACGTATCTCGGGTGAGGCCGAGAAGCAAATGACACAGCGGAAACGGCGTGCCGAGGCCTGGAGTTTCTCGGGCCAGGGTGGGTTCCATAACCGACCGATCCTCAACTAGTCTTCCCAGGGGTCTTTGATTTATTCTCAGGGCAGCCCCGTATGGCAGAGGGAGGCAAGGGAGTAGGCGGTGCTGATGTTCAGACAAGTTGAGGTCTCTGACTGTCTGCTTGTGATGTACAGATACGGGTACCCAAATCTGGTCAGCTTCGGCCAGTGTGTATAGGCGATCAACCGCGTGGGGTACTCCACGATGGACACGCCTATCGGTCAAACTGTTTCGCAGTACCCAGATACTTGGATATCGTGGCGTCGTGTGAAATCACAGCCAACGTACCGAAGCTCAAGAAAAGGCCCGAGGGAGGTTTGGATGGCCAGCTTAGTGGTCAGTGAGACCAAGCTTGCAAGCACCAGCGTGGCAGACCCTGGTGGCTGTAAGCACAGCCTACCATCGAGTGGAACTTTTGGGGCCATGATGGAATCCGTACCAGCGATATTCTCGCTTCCATTCTGACATGCAGCTTAGCTGCATTGGCCTGTTCGATGGGATTGGCCCAACGATCGCCCGAATTTCGCAGTGAAGGTAGGTTGGACAAGGCATCTCGCGAGGCATTGTGCCATGGCGCTCGAACCCCCCTCTGGCATCGGAGCTCACGATGGTAGATTGGTACCTGGCAGACCGAATATGCCATCAAAGTAGCCGCGGGTCGTTGTGCATAAACACACGATGCACGTGTAAGGGAATGGGGGGTCCCATACCGAGACGTCCCTACCCCGCGATAATGGGAATCGCCAGCGGACATGTCCGAGAGACATTGATGCTTGGTGACGTGCAGAAATGGAGCCTCCAAAGGCTGCGGTGGAAAATCCTTCCTCATCGATCTGGCTGAAATTATCGTAGGGAGGTTCTGCAATGTCCCTACGTCGAGCTGACCATCGTGAATTCCACTTGCAAGATACCGTCATATCAGCCGCTCTCTTGGGTCCTTGGCATACAACGCCTTTCATTCGTAGTCGATTTGGAATAGCACAAAGAAATCTAAATCACTACCGAGGCCCACTGGCTGGCTGCCCCTCGCAGCCATGGGAGAGTCTCACTTTCGAACACCACCGGTTCGCATGGGTCTCAGTTCCAATATCGAGGGCTTTGGGTCGAACCATATCTCCGGAACCGGTTGCACGTCCGTGAGATTCGGGTCCGTGGTCGCAGGTGACACATCGGCGTCTCGCCCCATGCCACAGCAAAGGGCAAAATCTTCCGGAGAGGCGCCGCCAGGCGTACGAGGAAGCCGGAACACCAATCGGTTGTTCCTCCAGGAGAGAGAGATATGATCAGACGGAACCTCACGTCTCAGACTCTAGAAACCTGAGTGTGTTGAGTGGCTGATGTTCGTCGAAGTCGGTGACTACCCTGCAGAAGTGAGAGTCTAGGAACCGGCCTGGAGTAGGCCACGGCCTCTGATTAGTCCATGATGGTAACGATACGGTAAGCGATCATGGTTGGTAGGGCTGAAGAAGACGCAAAGAAGGTGCGTAGATGCAGCGAACGTCATTGTGGGAAGATATTGGTGCCGTCAATCGTGGGTCGGTGTGGCTTCTTTCTGCAGTCTCTCAAGAAGCAGAGGGTGACTTTTTGATGGACGATGGCTGAGCAGCGGCGCTAAGGCAGGCGATATGTAGGCAGTCTTGAGGCAGATTCCCAAGATGCAGTGGGATACATGGGGGCTCCTGGCTCGAGAGGAGGCCGCCCTGCTCAATCAAGCCTTTGGCTCAGTGACTCCAGGGAAAGCCAGTGGAGGCTTTCCAGGCCACCCAGGGCCATGCTTCGAGGTCTCTGGCGCATAGGGCTGAGATGGAGGGTCAAGGAGTGGGTGGGAGTTTGTCTCGTCTTTCGAAATGGGATGGTTCCCGTGGTCTCCGTGTTCCCTTGTTCCCCCCTCCTCTGCTGCTAACAACGACCGTAGACGAATGCATCCAAGCCCCTCAGACAGCGGAAGCGGGCCGGTAGGATGAACATTGCATGTGGCGCAGCTGACATGGCCGAAGCGGTGAATCAAGCCGAGACATAGGCTTTTGTTTGTCAGACAAGACGCAAGCCGTGTCTGTCGAGAAACTCGGCGAGAGATGAATGGATTGGGCCAAGTGTGAAGTGTGGGAAGTTGTCAGGTTTCTAGTGGAATTGTGTGTGTTTCCATCCATAGGCACAGCGCCGGGAAAGGTAACAAAACGTTTCGATACTTTGGTCTGAACATCTGGTCAGTGCTTAGGTACAACCATGGATACTTCTGTATGTACTCAAGTACTGTACCTCACTCAAGGTGTTAGATCCGTACAGACACCACAGATCACCACAGATCACCACAGATCACCAAAGGGCAACAGCCTACATGCTTGCCTACCTACCTTACAGGCTACAGCCCTTCCCGCGAGACAAGACTCTCTGCTCCTGCCATGCTCGCCTGGCAGTGACACAACGCCGTCGAGACGGTCCGCGTGCGTCCGGTCATCATGCCGGCGCATGCTCTCCTGTCTTGTTCCTGCAACTCCAACTGACAAAGGTTCGGGCTCCTGCTCAACTGGTGCTGCTGCCCGTTGGCGATACGAGGAATGGCGACGGAAGCATGCAGGTAGCAACGCGCTCTTGCATGCCAAGATAAACCACCTCCTGTTCCCGTGATTGTCTTGTGTGTCTCTCTCTCTCATCCTCAGACTTCATCTCGAGAGCAGGAGCTGGTGATTTACATTCCGGCCCGTACTAGTCCGGTGTGTTACAAATGGGGGCAACGGACTTGTAGCACATCAGGTCCTGCTCACAGGAGGAATGGTGCAGAGTGTTGAATTGCCAACGATGTCAATGCTTTCCCCCCCAACGAGTTAAGCAAAAGACTTGCACCTGAGCATCGCAATTGCATCGTTCAATGGCGAGCCCAGCTACAACATGCCTCATCGGGAAACATGCCCGCTTCGTATGCCCTGCACATGCCTTGCTCACGCATCTACGAGGTACGGGCGACGTCGCATCGTCGTCTTGACCTTCGGTTTTGAGAAGGCTCCAAGTCAGATAAATCCACAGCGCTCGTCTTGGCTCTCGTGCGTATACGATGATGGAATCTATAGAAACAATGAATCAATGCCATGATGGCGATAAAGCTGAAGTATAAAGGGTAGAGGAAACATGGGAGAAATGGTAGGTAGCTATAGATGTTATTGCCAGTAAAGCTAGCGCAAAAATGCCTTTCATCAGCGCAACCGCAGTCTTCCTCACGCTCGGCTTCCGTGCCCTAGCCGCTCCCGCCCCGGCCTCCGTCATCCCGGATGGCATCATCCCGGGCGAGTACATCGTGTCCCTAAAACCGGGCCTCGCCCGCTCCCAAATCGAATCCCACCTCTCCCGCGCCGCCTCCGTGCACAACCGCCGCAGGCGCGACGCTCACACAAGCGGCATCAGCAAGACCTTTTCCATCGGCGCCTTCAACGCCTACGCGGGTTCCTTTGACGAGGCCACGCTCGCCGAGATCCTCAGCGGCGACGTCGAGGGCGCCGTGGCTTCGGTCGAGCCGAACCGCCTCGTCGAGATTGACGCCCTCGTCACGCAGGATGCCGCGCCGTGGGGCCTAGCTAGCCTCTCGTCGCTGAATCAATTGTCAGGCTCGTCTGATGGTCAGCCCTATACCTACGATGACTCTGCGGGCGAGGGCTCCTTTGCGTATATCCTCGACACGGGCGTGCAGGTGTACCACCCCGATTTCGCGGGTCACGCTGTGAAGGGGTACACTTCGCAGCCCGACGAGGAGTTTGATGACTTTGGCGGGCACGGCACGCACGTTGCTGGTACGATTGGGTCGCAGACGTACGGAGTCGCGAAGAAGGCGACGGTTGTGGATGTTAAAGTCCTTGCTGGGTTTGTAAGTGGTCTCTGTCTCTCGCTCTCCGGTTGCTTACAGGAATGATGTTGTTCTCTCAAACTGTGGCTGTGATCAATACTACCTATCAAGTCTAATAAGTCTAACCTTACGGGCACAGGGCACCGGCAGCGTCGCAACGGTCCTCGACGGCTACAACTGGGCCGTCAACAACATCACAGACACACCCGGTCGCCTCGCCAAGTCCGTCATCAGCATGAGTCTCGGTAAGAACCCCCCAAATTCAGTTGCGAGCCAATATGGCGCCCGCCGGCAATAGATGGGTTACCCCCTGGAGTCTGGACTAACACGCAACCTTCCTCCGGTTTGCCGCTGCAGGGTTCCCAGTAAGCACAACAGCCTCCGCCCTCGACGAGGCGGTCAACGCAGCCTACGACCTGGGTGTCCCGACCGTCGTATCAGCCGGCAACCTGAACCAGGACGCCAGCCGGCGCTCGCCCGCGCGGGCGGCGCGCGCCTTCACGGTGGCGGCCGCGGATTGGAACCGGACCCGGGCGTCCTTTTCCAATTTTGGCAGCCTAGTCGAGGTGTTTGCGCCGGGCGTCGAGGTGCGCTCGCTCGGGCTCGACAACGGCACGACGGTGTACTCGGGTACCTCGCAGGCTGTCCCGCACGTCACGGGCCTAATTGCGTACCTGAGGGGCAAAGAAGAGGGTTTGGCTACCCCGGACGAGGCGTTTGCGAGGGTGAGGGAGCTTGCTGTCGAGGGCGTGGTTCGGGATCCTCAGGGTACTGCAAATCTGCTTGCATTCAACGGTGCTGTTTCCTGATAAGGGCCCGGGGCGTGTAAGTGCGTGTGTATGTTGTTGGCTCGCAGGGCCAAAGAGGAAAGAGGCGCAGGCGTGGAGGTATTTTGCCAATGTTGGGTCGTCGGGCCTGATACAGACACATGCATTACTTACATGTGAGGCACATGGAAGCAGCAGCAATCATCCATCCTGGGTAAAGAGTCTCTAGGACTGTGTCACTTGGCTCTGATAGTCTGGTCCACCAGTCTTGTGTCTGTTTCGGACCAATTCTCAACTTGGAACTTGTGTTTGTTTGCTTGGATTGGCGGTACATGAGGGGTTCGTACTCCCTCAACTCTAGAGCACTTTGTAGCAAGTCTGAGGCATCTCTTTCCCGTGGTCCTGGACGAACGGGACTGGCTGAGACGCAATTTTGTCGGCACCACTCTGTGCGAATACACTCATCAACGATTGAAGTGCTTCCGTAATACATGGTATTTTAAGAGCCCGCTTGGTAAGCTCGCCTGTTTGGCGTCGGTGTAGTCGCAGATGCCGAAACGGCAACCCTCAGGGCCCCAATACCCTTTACCAAGCGAAGCCACCGTTTCTATTGGCAGCGGCGAGCGCCGACAACACACCAACCGCCTTCGATGCTGGGCCTGGGAAGGGAAACGGCATGGTGACTGCATCGAGACGTGGGTGGGCCGGCTAGTGTCATCTGTAGTCTGTAGTCTGTAGAGCAATGGAACGAGAACCGCGGTCCTTCAAGCTACACCAAGGTAAGGTGACCGTCCAATGGTCCAGGGAGAGAGGGGTGCCTTGTCCAACAAATCTACAGGTGAGCACGTGTCGCCGCGGGGAACCCACCATCATCCATGTCCTCTCCTTGCTCCACTTACCATTCTCTCTTTCAATCTTGTGTTCATGGATCCTAGAGGGTGACTGGCCCAGTGGATGGGAGCAAATCTGCGAATTGGCGATGATGACCTGCCTGTTCGCCTGCAGGGCTTAGCCGCCCACCACCAGGGCCAACAGAAGCGAAACAAACAGCACAGCCACAAAGAAACAACAACTTTGTACTTGTAATGCAGGTGGACTAATAAGTCGTTGGTGTCATCATTCAAGGGGTATGGAAGCATGGTGGAAGGCTTCGTCGAGACTAAACCTGCGCGGGGAGAGAGGGAGGGAGGAATATGATAATGATGATCAACCCCGTCGGCGTTTGGAGAGGGTGAGAGGTTGGGATGAGATGGGATAATGGGAATGAGCAACGAAATGAAGGACGTGGAGGTTACGTCCAACATCCGAGAGAGGTCGGAAGAGGGAAGGAGTGGAGATGAGAAGATGGAGATCTGGAGAGAAAGAAGTTACGGAGTACAGATACTGCGTACCTGCTGGAGAGTGTGCGATGAGCGGACGTCGACAGGCGTATCCGGGACTGTTGAGGATACCACCAATATTGTCCACTTTAACTCTTTCCTAACTTCTCTCTACTCTTTGAATGAGTATGAATTGCTAATGAATATTTGCCGCCTACTCTCGCTCCTTTCTATCAGTTTATCAGATAGTCATCGTTGCTTCTTCATCCCCTCTGTCCCACGTTTTGTTGCGCTTCGTTGAAATGGCTCAAAAGTCGAGACTCTTGAGCTCATTGCAAGGTACCTCGAACGTTTCTTCAGACCGTCGCCCACACAAAGGCAGGGTACAAGGACGAGAGCGGAAAGACCCAGTTACCAATTGGGGCAAGTTCCTCGACGAGCCGGGGACTAACATGGACGGGCCAGGTACTCGACCCCTGTCTCGCATGTACTTCGCCGATGCCAACAGGTACCGCGGTACGTATTCATATACACAGCAGTCGTTCTTCTTCTTCTTCTCATCTCTTTGATCTGAAGGAGACCGAAGGAGACCGCACAACGGGCCATCAAGTGTGGACGAAGGAAGGCAAAGTCTCTCGTGTTGCACCGAGAACGTAGGTATTCCTGATTTCATACCGTGTACGGAGTACGACAGGCAAGAAGAGCCATGCTTGTGAGACGTCAAGTTCTTTACCCTCGTGCGCATCTCTTGTCCAGTAAAACAGAATTTCCTTGCGCTGTCAGTGCCCAAGTACCTAGGGTAGATGGACAACGTCTGGCACCCCAAGCAGTCAATGTCGTGCCCTCTATTCTGCCCACCTACTTCATTTTCATCTTGAGAACGAAGTACGGAGAGCAGGTATTCACAAAAGTCTGATTCATCACGGCGAGCCTAACTGACTCTGGTTCGGGATAACGCGTGGTACAAGTCTACGATAGCGTACATGGGCAACAGGTACGGCGACCCAGACGCCTTGTCTTGCCTGCCCTGGAGGGGTTCAGTGTTTCTTGTACAATGAATGTTTGCTTCGTGCTGGTATTCGTACTCCCCCTCGTCTCTTTCTCTCCAGGTCTCTCTGGCTCGCCTACCTACCTACTTACCTGACAGAGTACTTTGTCCAATGCTTCGTATTGGATACACACAATTGAAGTGGAAAGCAGTAATGATTCCAAGGCCGCGGAGAGTCCAAGCCTCTCTTCCTCTCCGTCTGCTTCTTCTTCTCCTCCGTCTTCTCCTCCTTCTTCTCCTTCTTCTTCTTCTTCTTCTCCTTCTTCTTCTTTTTCTTCTTCTTCCTCCACCCTCTCAACCCTCACCTCTCTCCTCCACCCCACCGTCTGCGGATACCTTTTCTTTTCTCTTTCTCAGCTTGAGCTAGGGGACTAGCCAACTCCGATCCCCCACTCCCAGCCCCGTTAGCCCAACCTCATTCGCTCATCTCTCTCCTACTTCCCCCCCCCCCCCCCAGTCGAGAGCCTAGAGCCCAGAGTTCTCCTCATCCTCCCTTCTTCTTCTTCTGCTCTTGGCCAAGTCTGGCTTTGGGTCGCTTTCATTGCTTTGGTCTCGACTGATTGTTCTTCGGCACCTGTGTTGTCTGATCTCTCTGCTGCATCTGCTGCACAATTGCTTTCTTCTCATCCCAGCCCACCCGCCCTGGCCTGGACCTGGACCTGGACCTGATCCTCGCTCTCCTCCAACCGAGTGTTCACTGGACATTTCTCTGACCATCTTGCCGACTTTCGATATTCACCCCTGCTTCTGTTGGTTTTGCCCGTCATCAGACTCGAAGCTTGACATCTACATCGGCATCACTAGCCTACCTACACCACCATCTTCCTTTCCAATACCACAAGTATCGCTAGATTCTTACCTACTCCTGTTGGCTCGCTCTCAACCACCCGGATTCTGATAACCGTCTCCCCACGTCAGCCCTCCCTCCCTCCCTCCGGTACATGCCAAATCGACGTCGGAGGTCCTGCATGCAGTGCAGCATAGCGCAGCAGCGTATCCCTCCACCAGTGGCTACCCAAAAAACTGTCAGCGTCTCCTCTCCGCCCATCACCACGGCACGACACCACACCACCATCGAACAAGATCCCGGTCCGGGTCTGCGTCTGCTGTTCGTTGCAAGCCACCTCTAGCTTCACAGGCCTCCACATCGCGACTTGTCTCATTGCTTGGCTTTTCCTCTTCCTCTCACTCTCTACGAAGTAGTCTCTATATCCCTCCAGGCCCTCTCCAGGTCCCTCCCCCCTCCCACCGTGGATCTCGGTCTCCCCTACTCGGATCCCCCTCCCCCCTGGTCCCTGTGGTCCAAGCTACTGATCTGTTGCTCCATTCACATCCAGTGGCTTGTAGCGTCACAACACTAGCTACGGATGCCCAGGTCCGCGCCCACACGCCATCCGCCAGCCCTATATTACTCTATCCTCCGTCGCCCGTGACTCGCGGCCCCCAAACTCCTTCCCGCTGTAAAGGCTGAGAGTTGCCCAAACACCCTGTCATTGCGCATCTGATCAGCAAGCCGAGAAAGCAAACTATTATATCACCCCAGTCAAGACACAACTACTCGTCATTGCCCTTCTTTGCTTTTGATCGACATTCAAAGAGAGGTCTAAGCAACAACCGTTGTGCCTCTCCACCTGAATCTTCTCACCTTATCTTTGCTTCTCCCACCTCACCCTCCTCTACGAATACCTACCTACTCTTACAAAGTACTGCAGCCTGCCCCCCTTTCGACCTGGACTCTTTTCTTCTTGGCGCCTTTTCACAACTCCTTTAGTCATGTAAGTGCGAGAGCCTAGAGCTCGAACCGAGGGATAGACCCCGTCCCTCAGCAGATCGCCCCTCCGCCGGACCCGTTCCCCGTCCTGGTCGATTCTACACTAGGCTTACCCTGTCTAACCGCCGAGTTCACAGACCACCCGTCATCGCGCCGACCCTTAGCTTGCCTTAGTTACTATCTCCGCGCCCCGGTCCCCCTTCTACCCTAAAGAGCTCCCGAATCCCCTGCATTCCGGCCAGACACTTTTTTTTTTTTGTGGTGGTTCAGCTTCTCAACTTCGTCGTCGTCAGCAACACTTTTGTTGGGATCAAGGGGCAGACAGACATCTTCGTGCGCGACAAAGAGTCCAAGGCGATGAAAGCATATGCGACAAAGCCTCGGCCATAGATTCCACCTGAACTCTACACAGCGACGATGTCGTCCTACAACAGCGCCGACGCGAACTCGGTCACTTCGACCAGTCCCGCCTCCTCAGACTCCCAAGCAAAGCCCAAGAGGGCCAGAACCAGTAGACCGAAAGTCAAGACAGGATGCAACAACTGCAAGTACGTGATGCACCCTGCTGGACTCGTGTTCGTGGGCCAGAGCCTAACATGCTCACCGTAGACAACGGCGCATCAAGTGCGACGAAAGACGACCCTCCTGCTCGCAGTGTGTACGCTCCAAGAAGATTTGCACCGGATATCCACCTCCCAGCCGCAGCGCGAGACCTCACGAGGTTCTCGCCATTGCACCAAAGCCTCTCCTGGCCGCCGCTCCTACCAACGCTGCTCCCGCGCGATCCATCGAATTACCTCCCAGAAGAGTTCAGAAGATTCAGCGTCGATTAACCCCCCCTCAAACTCCGAATGACGCTCCTTCGGCCATTACCATGTACCGCCCAGCGGGCAACTTGCAGCTC